GGTACAATGACTTCTAAAGTATGTTGGTAAATGAAGATAATCAGATAATGATGAAAACGACATGCTTCTGCTGGAAGTGGCACGATTCTTGCGGAAACGTGACTATTTAATTCAAGATGAAAGGAAACGTGAGGTAATGTACAAGACGGATGCGACGAGTTCTGTAGTCAAGTATTGTTTCACAGGTAACGAAAACACTACCGAAGATGATTGCTGTGGTGAAAGTAAATAGGATATTCAATAAGCCAATTGTAGAAAAGGAAAAAACTAACAAAAGAAAGGAAAAAACTATTTTTTAGACATTCTGTACAGGTTTTTTTTAGCGATTAATGTGTTTTAAAATGCTTTATAAATTAGGTTTCCTTACATGGGGGAAGTTGATTGTGTCCATAGAAGTTTAAAATTCTGTATATATCATTTTCAATCATTTATAAATTTCTACACTTAAATATTTACAATTTAATTTTAGTTATGTCCGCTACGGTGGCTTAGAGATAGCATACCCGCTTCGTAAGCCTAAGGTTGCACGTTCGACCTTAAATCGATAGATTTTCTGGATGCAAAAATCGTACGCACGCATGTCATATGATCATGTGGCATGTAAAAAATCCCGTGAGTATCAATTTGGCTCTGGTACTCTCGGGGAGGGGGGGAATCACGACAATATTTACGAGACTTATGATGAAAGCTTGAATTAAAAATCAATTCAAGTGTCCAAATTCGGAAGCGAGGTCGCCACTAGATGGTGCCACCCTGAAATGGCTCTTACATTTGAAGACTTGCCGTGTCTGCTAATATTAAGCTGTTAAAATGCAGCCCCTTTGGGGGGAAAAATTTAGTTATTAATTACTTCACATAGAAATGCAATAGTTCTGTTGTCAATAATGTCTACACCCACATAAAAATCATTAAAAACTTTATTATTGCTCTTTCTTTGCAGAAGAAGTATTTCAACTAACTCCACGGAGGTCATTTCGTATTAGTTTCAAATATCAAGGAATAAATAAGAGTAACACTTCCATTTTGTGATCTTCATTTAAACATATTTATTTTAACGTGTTTGAGGTGCTGCTAGAGCCTGGACGTCACAAAGATATGTAACGTAAAAACATAAATTCGAAGGAAATTGTGGGCCTGAATGTGATAGATATATCAACAAATATGTTTTTTTATCGTCATGAAATTTTAAAAAGTCTTTCGTTAGTTTTTTTTTTTTTTTTTTTTACCCTAGAGCGGGGGTGAGCAAATAGCGGTTCTCATGCCTCATGCGGTTCTCCAAGACAGTCAGGAAAGTGTTAGGGTAACTGATTAAACTGATTCTAAGACTAAATGTGCTCTCAGATATGAAATTAGCACACTAAATTAATTGAAAACAGTCACTATTTTATTGACATTTATGGTACAATTTATACCTTTTCTGAGACGCAAAATTAACTAATGAATGCAATCGTTTTAAAAAGGAGTGTTCCCCTCGGGTATCCTTCGCTTCTATAATGTGGCCCTCGAGCCAAAACAAAATCTCTCGTCTCTGACCTAGAATAAGAGCTAAATGATACTTGAGGATGTAATACGGATACTTAATTTAAACAGCTTTCTATGATTTGATTCTATGCGCTGCTCAGAGCAAAAAATTATGAGGGTAATCATAGGGATTATATATTATACGGTTAAAATAGTCTAGTTTAATCAGAGATAGGTTGCTAAATCAGTTGTTTAACACCTTTTTATAAGCTTCATTTGTTTGTAACGGAATCTTTGAACTCAATTTTATCCACTTTACAAGGTCAGATTAATTCGAAATTTTGCTCACATTTGTCCAGGCCCGAGATGACAATACAATAATTTTGTTCCATTGTCCTGATCAGGATCATCAGGATTAACGATTTCCCACTTTCAGATTCCATCCCTCATTTGGCGACTCATTACAGATCCCATTCCCAGATTTGGTGACTAAAAGATTAAGTTACAGCTTAGTTCGATTAACTATAAAAAGAGTGTTTTTAGTTTTTTTAAACTATAATTTTTTGCAGACAATTTCGATAAATCACGTAATTTTGAATCGTGAAAAAAAAAAAAAAACATTTAAATTATATTTTACTCTTATAAACCATTATATACCAAAATACGTGAAAATTTTGAAAGTCGATAAAATCCATCATATATAATCAACTTAAAATTTAAAAAAGTACATGCTTTATATTTTCCATAACTACAGCAGCGATTCTTAAACTGTGGTTCGTGGACCCCTGGGGTCCCCAGAGCTTTTCTAGGAGGTCCACGGTCTCTCCTTTAATGTTAAGATTTCCCTCTTTTACAGACCCTGAAAGGCCTCGAGGAAAATCAAAAGCTCTATCACTAAATATTACTAAAACATGTATTTGATCAAGAATATTCAGTACTTTTTTTTTTTTTTTGCAACTACATAGCTATTGCTACAGCGTAATATTTTCAAATAAAGTAGAAACTTATCAGCAAATATAAGTAGAAGAAACAGTCTTAAAATTCCTTAGGAATTTTTAAATCACTCAGCCATATGTTAAGAGTCAGGAAAGGTCATTCAAAATCTTGGGGGTCCACGATGTCAGGCTGATACATAAAGGGAGAAAGCGGCGATCGAAAGTTTAAAGAACCGCTAAACTACAGCAACTAAAAATATTTTTCGGTTTCAACTAATGATATAAATTAAAGAATTCCTATGTTTAAATGAAATAAAAATGCAACGTAAGCTTCTTAAAAACACAAATATACAACAGTAATAATCAAATGTCAGAATTTTGGATAAGTTTCCCCTCCTCTCTGACGCGATTCTTCCAATTACATAAAATGACTACATATTAAGGTTAAGAAAATGCTTAAATGTCAAAGGTAATAGAGACCAAATTCTAAAGCCCCTTAAACTAGAATTCATCAAGAACATATCTTTTTCAACCTGTAATGGATCTATGGAGGTAGGGTAAAATGTCAAAGAATTTAGGTCACATTTGGGTCTCAAAAGGTATTAATAATTGAACGGAATGTTGCTCCTTCCATATGTGGTGAGCGTAAACTATTCTTCTCGCTATCAATGCTTTTTTTTTTTTCATTTTCTTTCTGAATTCCATTTTGCCGTTTAGCGACAAAGAAAGGGAAGAAAGAAAGTTGAACAAAGAGAACGTTTCACGCTTTCCTGATTTCGCGGTATTTAGTTTTTTGTCTTTTTTCCAATTCTTCTCCGTTTTCATTCATTCTTAGGAGAAAAACAACTATTTGCACACTCAGAAGGGGAGGAGGGATTTTGTGAATGGCATTGGGAAAAAGTAACTTCCAGAATATTCTTTTACATAAGTCAAAAAAAAAAAAAATTTTCGTCTAATTCAATTTAAATAATTATTTTTCAATGCATCGAAAACTGTGGATTCTTATCATTTACAAGTGCAAATTATCTCAATTGCGTTAAATGTGAAAAAGCGAGCATGTTTTTTTTTATAAAAACCTATTTATTTCTTAAAAAAACATAGATGATAATTTTAAATTGATTTCTAAAATAAACATAATATAATGGGATTTTGATTAAAGTTTTATATACAAGTAGTATAAAAAAATTTAAGTTAATTCCTACTTTAAATGGATGAACAGGAAGTATTTTATTAACTATTGAAAATTTTAACAAGATTATATATTTATATATATATATATATATAAAGGGAGAGAGTGAGCTAATAGTAGAAATTGAAAAAAGAGCACGATTTGTCTGCATTGTTGTAACAATGCACACCCGGTTCGGCTAGTTCGGCTGAAAAACCGGTTTTCGGCGCCAACTTCTGTCATTGTTTTAACAATTACATTGTTACAACAATGGAGACGAATCTAAGTTGTCGTCGAAAACCGGTAAATAATTTAATTAAATAACCGGTAATTAATGCATCAATATTTGAAAAAACTGTATTAACATTAAGTGTCATCCATTACAAGTTTTAAAAAATTTATTTGAACTTGAATAGATGAATATAAAGTATTTTATAAGCGATTGAATATTTGAACTAATAGTGGGAATGGAAAAAGAAATGAATAGGTAAAATGTTAATAAATATTCAGTAAATTAACTATGATATATTTCTATCAGGTTTATTCTATCTTTCTATTATACAGGGTTACTCGTGATTCCTTCGAAGAGCGATAGTAAAGAAACAATGAAGAGTATGGCTAATAAAAGAACGTTTGAAGGAATGCAGAAGCAATTCAAGTTTTATTTACATATTTTACAGGAGTTCTATGTGTGAACCGTTGGTCACAGGGCATACATCAATGCCATAGTTCAGTTCCTTCCATACTCTACTCAACATGGTACTATCAACGTTATGGACAGCACGTGTTGTCCTTCCATGCAGTTCTGCTACATCAAGCGGCAAAGGGGTTACGAAAAATTGGTCTTATGTAAAAGACCAAGTTCTCGGATAACATGGAAATGATAAAAAACACGTGCTGCCAATAACGTTGATAATACCGGCAGGAACTGGACTATCGCATTGATGTATGCCCTGTGACCAACTGTTCTCACATAGAACACATGTAAAATATGTAAATAAAATTTGAATTGCTTCTGCATTCCTTCAAATGTTCTTTTATTAGCCATACTCTTCTTAGTTTCTTTACTATCACTCTTCGAAACCCGGGAGGGAATCACGTGTAACCCTGTATAATAGAAAGAATAAACCTGATAGAAATATATAATTAATAAATATTCAGTAAATTAACTAACATTACCTATTCATTTCTTTTCCAATTCCTACTATTAGTTCACTATCACTTGTTCAAATGTTCAATCGTTAATAAAATACTTTCTATTCATCCATTCAAGTTCAAATAATTTTTTTAAAACTTGTAGTGGGTGGCACTTGATGTTAATACTGTTTTTTTTTTTCAAATATTAATTCATTAACTAAATTTTAAAAAATGAATAATTAGTAACAAACAAAAATAATAGTCCAACAGCATATATAGAAAGGAAAGTCGTTCGTTGTGTCCCTGTAGCGTAATGGATAGCACGTTGAACTTCTAATCCAAAAGTCGTGGGTGAATTCGAATCCCATCTGGGATGGCCTAATTTCCGAGATTTCTTTTTTACTATAGTATTTTATTAGAATAATTAAATTTAATTAATGAATAAACAGTAAAAAAAAAAGTCAAACACCATATATAGAAAGGATAATGAAAAATTGCAAGGAAAATCGCTCTTTCTACTAACTTTGTCACTTAATATTGTGATTCTGTTATATATATACATATTTACATATATTAATTGTAACTATTTAATAAAAAATAACTAAAATAAAAATTTTCTTCCTTGACCTAAGTAGGAATTGACTTATAAATTTTTTTTTCTTCTTGTTTAATTCAATAGCCAAACATTTACATTATGTTACTCAATAAAGTCTTTAGAAATTAAGTAGTAAGTGTTCATTAACGTCGTGTTCTAAAGCAACACGAGGGGTTTGGGGGACGAACCTCATAATTTTGAAATTCGGTCAAGTGACGAAGACGACACCTGAGCTGGCACCATTTCTCTTCTAATTCCACAGCACCAACGTGAGAACTTTTAGCAACGCGAGCTAACGAGCAACAGCGTCTCCACACGGTGGGCCTTCAGTGACACTAGGACTCGAACCCTTGACTTGCCAGCCACGGGCAAGTGAACATGGTTACTAGACTACCACAGCCACAACAATATCTTCAGAAAACAACTTATAACAGATTTTTAAAAAATATTATAAAGAACTTTAAGGCATGCAATTTCTATTAACTTATTTGCTCTAAAGAGAAGAATGTTGGGAAAAGATATTTTGCTTCGGGTAATCACTTCGCAGCTTGTTTACTGCTCAATAAATTTCGTTAATCGTGGTAGGTAATCTGAGAAGAAACGGAACCAGTGTCACATATTTCTGAAAATCCAAAAATCAAGTGATAACACAGTTTTCCTCGACTTTGCTAATCTCGAAATGATGCGGATTTGGAAACAATCATGTCGTGTAAATAAGCTAATACAGGGCATGTTTTGAAATCGAGATAAAAAAAAACAGAGAAAAACTCGTATTTCTGTGGATTCACTTCACGTCAAAGAAATCCGCAAGCTTGTTTGACCCCAATCCTTTATACCTGATAAAGCGCGGAGATGGGAGCGAAATACAATGGAGCGGTACAGCGCAGAAAAAAATATTTTAAGGCAAAAAAAAAAAAAGTAAAAATTCTTATTTAAAGAAATTTGCAATTCATAAGTAGTAAACACCTACTTTCTGAAAGCAAGGGTTACCATTTTGCATTTCAAAAGATGGGCGTTGCACGTGTTTCTCATTCAATATTTTAAAATGATAATGATGAAAGGAAAAATATTCTAATGCGATTTCTTTTACTTTCATTGCATTTAAAATAGAGGTATGGAAAATTCCAAAATCAAAATATGCAAAACAGAAAGCATATTTCTCTCGTCTCATCTGATAAACAAATGATCTTTAAGAGTAAAAAAATTGCATACTTTTAAGAAAATAAACATAGAAAGACTTAAAGAGCCGAGAATTTCATATACATTGCTATTTCGACTTATTTCTTCATTAATTGCAGGAAACCATGCCGACAACCGCTTTAAAAATAAACGTGCTAAGTACAGCTCATTATAAACACAAATCTGAAAATAGTCAAACTATGGTTTTCTACAGATACATTAAATCTCTAATAGCCATTTAAATTTTTTCTATATAAAGATTTTATTAGATAACTAGCCGTTATCCGTCCGTTTTGCTGCTGATTTCATGATGTTGCATGACTATATTCTGCTTATAAACTATTCATATCCAAGTCCTAGCATTAAACGTTTGATTGTATAGAAAAACATTCTTATTGCCTTCATGTCTTCATTTAAAAAGGGCAGGACTTGAATTTCTAAAATTGAAATAAATTTTCTTTTACGTTTCCATAACACCCAAAGTAGATTTCCGTGGTTGCGGGAGTACACAGTATTTTTAGTGGATCTCTACTCAACAAAATAAACATGTTTGCCAAATTTCAAATCTAAGTCGGTTAGCTCAAAAACGTAATCAATATTTCAAGTCTGAAGGTCTAATAGTTCAAAATCTGGAATTTTCCTCTGTCATGCCCCGTTCAGTCCTCGCAACCTCCCACCTTTAGGAATGGATTAACGGGGTCGATTTTCGAAAAACCCGTCCTTAGCGGATTTCTACTCCATGAAAGAAACACGCCTGCCGAATTTCAAGTCGTAGATCTATTAATGAGGAAGATCTCGGGATGAGTGAAAGAGTGAGCTTTCCTCTTTTATATATATAAATTACATCAGAATGTAGACCTAAACAAAAGCCTTAATTAAATTAAGAATCATACAAACGAGTAAAAATCTAAATAGTAATTCTTAAAAAAACATTTAATTGACAAAGTTGAGAATTCAATTATTTTTTCTCTTAAATGTGTACAGCAGAAATTTCAAAGACGCTTTGAGCTCTGTTCAATAACGAAGTACATTCATTCAATATGGTTATTGTAGTTTTTTTTTTTTTTTTTTTTTGTGATGTCATTACTTTGAGCCTAGTGATTTTACTAGTGATTTTAAAAAAAAAGATTTAATGATGTTATTTTGATATTATTCACGATTGGATCTTCAAACTTCCGTTTCATACCGCATGGTATTTTCGTAACTCTTGCTGACACCGTGATTGAATATTCTGTAGCTTCCCTTACTGTTATGACGGTCTTAAAAATAATCGTGCCCAGAGAACTGGCAACCCATTGTTAAAAACTATGTATGAAAACCTTTTACAACTCCAAAAACTTATCTTCCCACTCTCTACCTAGCGATTATTCTTTGATTTTAAATAACTCCTACAAATATATTTCTCATGAAATCGTGACATGCCAAGGAACTCACAAACAAACAAAAACAAAAATATCTGCTTTTATGGTAAAAAATTTATTTTATCAAACAATATTCTGATAATTCTAAGCATACGTTAAAAATAAAAATTAAATGATATATTTCATAATAATGAACATTCAGATGAGTGAATAATTTTAAAAAATTTCTCATTCGGAGATATTTGTGCAATTTAATGGGAGCAATAAAAAAAAGTACAGTAATACCTCGACTTACTATACCCCGAGAATTACGCGAATCTGGAGTTACGCGCTTTTCAAATTTTGTCGATTCGTCTTTTGTTTGAGAAAAAAAAATCGGTGAAATAGGTAATGTGATTGATGAATTTGTCAATTTTCCCAGGGGCAAATAAATTTAGAAATGGATAGTGATGACATTCAAGAACTGCTGGATTCCCACAATCAGGAGCTGTGATGTGCTCAATAGTGCTGAGCTCATAGAAATGCATGAGCTAAAGCAAGACACTGAACAAGTATAAGTTTTCAGTTCCACTATAATCAGAAGATCGAATGACAGTTCAGAATTTGACAGAAAGCTTCATTAAGAGAGAGGGGAAAAAAAGAGCACATGTGTGCACATTTTTTCAACAAAACAAAGAATAAAAAATTATTAGCATACCACAAGGAAATTTCGCGGGAGGAAAAAAAAATTTTTTTTGCCGGCAGACTATTTTGTTTGATTTTATGAAACCTTCTACATTGAAAAACTTAGGCTTTCGATATTTTATGTGTATTATCTAAGATTTTAATAAGCATTTTTTTTTCCTAATCATTTTTTTCTGTCGTCTCCGGCCCAAATAAAAATAATTCACATGTATTTATATGCGAAATCATATTCCGACTTAAGCGGTTATCACTCAGTCCCACCTATTGTGTAAGTTCGGGATATTAATAATTTTTAAACTACGTCTAGACAACGTTTTATACTTGCATCTCTCTCATCGAATTATCATACAAAAGATGCGAGAGAAGCGAGATGATTTTGAGCTTTCACGTCAGTCATCGGCTGTTTAAATCTTTCATCCATTGAATTTGCAAATCTACGGTTAGGAAGTTATATACACCTACATCTCATTTTACGCAATACATAGATTCTAAAAGTTGAAACAGCTAACTCCATATAAAACAAGAAATTGGTTCCAAACCTCAAATACACGTAAAATTATGAGCGGAAAAGAAGAAAAAAACCCAAAATATTACGTTTTTATTTTATTATTTTGTGTGTGTGTTTTTTTGTTTAAGTTATATACACCTACATCTCCTTTTACGCAATACATAGATTCCTAAAAGTTAAACGAATGAAACAGCTAACTCCATATAAAACAAGAAATTGGTTCCAAACCTCAAATACACGTAAAATTATGAGAGGGGGGAACCCCCCCCAAATATTACGTTTTTATTTTATTATTTTTTGTGTGTGTTTGCTAACATTTACTGTACGTGTATGGTACGTGTATATTTGCAAGTGCGTATATATATATGTGTGTGTCTGTGTGTACATTTTTAAGTATTTGTGTGTATGTATGCTTTTATGCACTTGTATTTTGAAAATCTTATTCTGATCACAATGTGCTTCTAAGCCTTCACCGTTGTATAATTTAATTACTGAACGTCTCCGTTTTTGTTTGTGAGCAATCTTGTATTTTGTTCTGTGTTTATTGTATTTGCATCCATTCTTGTTTCTTTTTACCTTTTGATTCCCATTTGTGCTTGTATCCCTGTACTTAAAACTTCCTACCACAATTGACTAAGTATTGACTTACGTTTGTAAGCCTTGTGTTATACTTGTTGGCGCACAATGAGTTTACCTAGTCTCAAAAAAAAAAATATTACGTTTATTAGGATCATATTTAGAATTTGTATTTACCTTTCATGGAGAACACATAGTTTATTAATTTAATAATTAGAAAAATTCATTACAATTGTTTGAGAGATTTTATTAAAAATTAAGTTATTTGCTTTTCGTTTCCGACAATACAAGCGGAGGCTTTTGTTTTCACTAGACAGTAACATTAATAGAAATAATATATGATTATATGCTATTGTCAAAGTAGACTCTTCCAACTTATTATCATTATTATTAAATAGTTCTTATCGTCTCTTGAACAAAACAGTGTTGGTTAGTTTAATAGTTTTAGACACGAACTCGGTTATTATTGTTGT